TGTGTGTGTGTGTGAGCGAGTGAGTGGGTGTGTGTGTGTGTGTGAGTGTGTGTGAGTGTGAGAGTGTGTGAGTGTGAGTGTGTGTGTGAGTGTGTGTGTATCTAAAGTGTCCAATGAAAAATTGCAATGAGACAAAATACATATATAAATAAATAAATTTAAATTAGTGTAACTACAACAGGCCAGCTTTTAAAATAAAACTCTGTAAACATTTAGAAGCCAGGAATACAGTATGACAAATAAATCAAGAGAAACGTCAATTAGAAAAAATATCTGATTCAATACAGAAGTGTTAATTATAAAAATAAGAAACACGCATTTGATTCCGGTAGAAGTTGATGTTAGCGTGTTGTGTTGTAAAAACAGCACAAACAAGTATTGGTTAAAACAAACTAATTTAAAGTAGTTTTTAAATTTTAGTTTCAAATTTCAGCGTTCCAAATTCAGTCACTTATGAGGAACCATATCACTTCAGATGCTTTAGTTTCCTTTAAAGGAATAAGAATAAATCAGGTTATTTTTGTGTAGCATACTGTAGCATTACAGATCCTAAAAGCCATGAAGAGGGCAGAGAGATTACGAACGTCTGTGAATGCTGTCAGATTGAACCTGCTGCTACGAATCAAACGAGCCAAATGATTTAGAGCATGAAAAACAAGCTTATTTTCAAAGAAATGCATCATGAATTTTCATACAATTGAGAGTTATGGATTCTGGATGCTGATCTTCATCACCATCATGCTGCTTCGCTCTAACTCATCATCATCATCATCATCAGGTCTGTTGTTGTTTTCATTAGCTATATTTCCATGCAAATTAAATGCAATCGTGTGAGACGGTTTCATGCAATATCCCAAAATTTGCATAACAATAATGTTCAGTTATCAATATGTAAGTCATGTTCAGTTCCAATCAAAACCTTTAATAACAACATCACACCGACTGTTCAAACAACACCTGAGCTGCAGCAAGAACACTGATCATGGATGGAAAAACATGATGAATGAACAGCTGTAAAGGTCGAAAAGACAATAAACTCACACGCCTATAAAACACAGAGTCAGCCGCTGACTGACTGAAACCCACCGCCAACATATAAAACAACAATCACACAGGTAATAATGAACAGAGCGTGAGATTTATGAGCAGAGGGATGTGCTCCATACGCGAGGGTTTCTGCTGTGAACATGTCAAATGTGTGATTCTGCACATGTTTGGTTCATCTTCTAATTATCGATCCTGCTCAGACCTTAAAGGAATAGTTCAGCAAAGATGAAAAACTGATGAAAATATGAATGAAAATGTGCTCACTCTCAGGCCATCCAAGATTGTTTCTTCATCAGGTTTGTAGAAATGTAGCATTGCATCAGTGTCTCAGCAATGGATGCTCTGCAGTGAATGGGTGCCGTCAGAATGAGAGTCCAAACAGCTGATAAAAACATCACAATAATCCACAAGTAATCCACAGCACTCCAGTCCATCAGTTAACATCTGGAGAAGACAAAAGCTGAAACTAATCCAGCATTAAGATTATTGTGGATTTATTGTGGATTATTGTGATGTTTTTATCAGCTGTTTGGACTCTCATTCTGACGGCACCCATTCACTGCAGAGCATCCATTGCTGAGACACTGATGCAGTGCTACATTTCTACAAACCTGATGAAGAAACAAACTCATCCACATCTCGGATGGCCTGAGGATGAGCACATTTTTGGGTGAACTATTGCTTTTATGCTGAAGAGATCCGGAATCATAATGTACAGTAAAGATGGAGATAATGAAGCAGTGTCACTGATTTGAGTGGGTCTGTGAGACGAATGATGGGATACAGCTCATCCTTCATTAGAATACTTTCCCTATGATGCTAAAGACCGATAAATCAGATTGATCTGAATTTGAGCTCAATTTATGTGAGAATATGAGTATTGTAGCCAAATCTGAACACATGAAAGAAGCTTTGAAAATGGTGAGAGACCAGAGCAGCGTGTGAAAGCAGATCTTCAAAGCATCAGCGCTCGTGTACAGACGCACTGATCAGAGAAATATCAGGAAAAAATCAAACATTTATTGTTGTAAAATGACTCTGCATACAGTTCACGGCAACACATGCTGCTGAGAACAAAGAGGAGGCTAAATAAATCAAACGTGTGAAGCGGCAGGACAGATCTGCGGGAGCTTCCTAAATATGTTTTGATCATTGTGTTTCCCACTAAGTTTCTGTGCCTGATACGATTTGCACTACAAGAAGTGGACGCTCATTTCATTTATCGACCAAATGCTGCAATATGTGTTTCAGAAGCACTGATTTTAACAGCCCGATAACTCAGAAATGCTGAGAGTGCAATACTATAATAAGAAACACACAATACAGTGCATTAGTATGCGAAACAAAACATTATGCAACAACAAATGTTTCAAGCTGTAGCATGCCAAATTAATTCAATGTTATCTTGCATTTTAATCAAAATCGGAAATTTTTTTTTTTTACATATTACATATTTTGATGATGCTGAGTTCAAAT